GTTTATCAGTTTGCTGGTGTTTGTATGGTTGTATAAAAGACACACGAGTAAATAACACCTTGCTATACAGTTAGATATAGCAGAATCAGTCAATGATTAAAACTGCGTCATATAATTGTTTCGCTCTTGTAGGACTGGTCAGTGATGTCCAAGTTTTTAAGCCTTGGTGATGACTGAGGAAAATCCAAAATATTCGAAAGGAAAGTCAAAACCGCAAAGCCCCATAATTCAATTTTTCTCGTAATTTCCAAATACCTCATCATTGTATAACAGTCGACTGTGAAAAGACAATCAATTTTTTTTTTCAGTAATCTTCATTGTTGTTAAAATTTCTATTTTGTACCCTATAAAATGTGATAATCTGATAAAGAAACCATCCTAAATAAAATGAATGAAATGATTTTTGGAAACTTACGATCGTGTAAGCTGGTATGAGAGTGAGGGAAATCTACAGGCCACATGACTGGTCTAGTTATAAACGATATACAGTGTGAGAAACGATCTGCACATTCATCACCTTCTTATAGATGGCGAATACATGAGATAGAAACTTGATGTCCTTGACCAATATTCCTTAAGTGACCATTACTAACCACATGTTAGGGGGAGGGAAGGTCATCAATACAGGACGGATGTGATATAGCATTTTGCACAGGAAAACGACCAGGAAATCAAGATATAAAATATACCACGGTTTGTCCTTCAGATATAAATAGAATCTTAAGTGTCTTTTTTGATAAATGATTTTTTGATGAAACGAATCTAAGAAGGTTTTATTTTGCTTACGAGTTTTGGCGTTTGAATTTTTATCACAAAACTCGGAAAAGATCCATTTTGGAAGGTATTTAATTAAAAATGTGGACAAAGTCAGACAGAGGCAGCAATTTTGTTGCGGCGTTTTCAATTAATGACGTAATGTATGTTGTTTTTATGACATCACAATCGATTTCTGACTGGTACAGCCATTGAAAAAAGTATAAGTTTGTAGCCAATATTATTAGGGTCTTTGGCGTTATGTGCACTGGTATTACTAAATAATGATACATTTTAGAATGATGTTAGATTCTACAACAAACTGCGTCGATCTAGAACTAGCAGTCATTTAAGGGACCTAAGGTGTTGAAAACAAACCAAATCAGTAACGATATAGATAGATTATACCATTAACATTTATTATCATAACAAGTAATTAATTGATTATATAAATATGTCTGAATTTTTAATTTTGCAAAATGCTTAAACAAAGTAAATTTCGAAAATCTAAAATCTCTGACAATTTTGAACCTCTATGACCTTTAGAGCCAAGCCATCGCCCAGGAAGTGGCATTTAGCATTATAGCAAGTCGCGTGAACTACATGTGTGATTATAGTTCATCAAAGAATCAAACCATACTAAACAAGGTAGGGACGTACGGACGTGTTATAGCTACATACTTCGAACTGGAAATTTCTTATTTCGGATTGTGCATAAAAGTGTTTGCAGGTAAATTTTAAGTTCGCCTCAGTGATGTTTTAAATCAGAAATACAGTGTAGAACCCACCAACTAATCATGACGATGCTCCTCAACATCATGTATATACTTATATCAATTAATAACCTTGCAGTTCTGGCTCAGTCAATGACAGTGTACATAATGGGTGTGTTAGCGTCACGGATCAGTGAACGCTTGATCGATAAAGCACACTTAATCACAAACGACTGCATGGAATCATAGACAACAGGTTTCCTTATATAACTGTGGTCAGTAAGATGGTATCGTATGTATGTGAATCCAGGTTTACCAGTGAATGCTATAAGACAGATACTCATTAAGTTCAAGAGTAATACAACCTACCTGTTACTTGATATTTTATGAACTTGACCTTTGAACTCCATCACTGTCGATATTCTTTTTAAAATAAAGTAAAAAAAACGTCAATAATAAGAAGAATGTAGGATACGGTACAACCTTTTATAGTATCAGATAAGTTAGCTTCGTGACATTAAAAAGTTAGTAATCTATGGCTTTAGCTTTCAGTTTAGTGTTGCAAAAGCTTCCAAAAAAGGAAAATAGATAAATAAATAAAGAATGCTAAGTAAGCACCTATAAAACCATCTACCACTTATTAGCCCTATACTGTAAATGTAATTCATTTGACGCAAACAAACAGTTCAGCGCAATAATCTTTTTACCAAAATAGTGTTATAATAGAATAAGTACATCCATTAAAACAACATAGAAACTGCAATTAACACTATTATAGTTTAGCGCAATAATCTTTAGCGAAGTTATGTTTAAGCGCGAGATTTTCAGCGTAAAAAAGCGTTAAATTAAATTGCCACTAAAATATATGCTTTATGACAAGAACAATTTGTTAATAACGCGTAGTAACATGATTTTCTTCCCTCAACGGTTTTCATTTTATTCCGGTGGACTCGCTCTGATTTCCAATAAACGATCATATTTGATAACATGTAAACCAATAGGTCACTAGGCTAATTAGATGTAAAGGTGTGTATATAGTTATACTATCGTATGTCGTGTCTCTGAAATCGTAATCAATATGTATATTGAAGAGGCAAACATCTGAACACCACGTTCATCATATAGATCTATGTGTATCTAAAGTCTGACGTCATCTCACAGTTAGTCCAACCACCTGGTCATAAATATCAACTCGTATGACGAGTATAGACATTAAACATGGCCGTCGGCTATTTATATCTCTGTAGTCGTTCACTGTCTGATTGACGTCTGCTTATACCAATCATATTGTGTATTACCCCGCTATACACACGTCAATGACTTTCAGAGTATCACATCTACTTAAAGTTACTAGTTTTCTGTATGTTTGGTAAACATACTGTAAATAACTTATTTTATTCGCGATAAGCATCATTCGCGAATTCAAATGTCTCGCGAATATTCTTTTGACGATGGCATTACATATGATAACAGCGATGGTGCTTCTTTAAATCAGATGTAACACTCGTCACACGGAAATTATCATATACTTCAAAATGAGTCAATGTGATTGTGTTGAAACAAGGCTTTCTATTGGGTGAAACTGTTGTCAGCCATTAAACATACTGATGATTTATAATGTTGCTTTTGATTGGCTTACAGAATTGCGTTAAACATAAACACTGGAAATCATTCATGTCTAAGTTGAATTGAGGCCGAGGAAGGATTGCTGTGACATTGTTTTCAAGTCTTTGATCAATAATATAAAGTAGTATGAAATAACAAATATGAGTTTATCAAACACATGTACCCCGCGTTCTATATTGTGAAAAAACCAGCGTTTGGCGGGGCCCGAAAGTGCGTGTGTATGTGTTTTGTGATTAAGAGAGGACACACAAGTGAATTGCACCATTCATTACAAATTTAGAATAAAGTACAGTAAGGGTAGGTGATAGATTAAATTGCTAAAGTTTTAACTCTTCGTAATGGAAGACATTTATAATGAAATATATAACAGAAAATCTCTGATGTTTGTCAAACTAAATGAGTCACACGTTAAATTACAATCCCCTGTTATATAGCATCTCAACAAAGTTTGCATTCATGAAAATTAAACATGAATAAAACAAGGTCATGTATCTTCTATCATGACACATAGGCTACTGAGCAAGTCTTAATTAAACTAGCTATTATTAAACACAGGTTATGAATACAAAAGTCCATGTTCGTCGATAATATTTATCAATTTTCAATAATTGACAGTCTAATAAATATTTTTCCAACAAAGTGAACTTGAGCAAGTTGTTTTATGTTTATAATTGTCCCATTTGTAAATATAATTTACAACATTTGAATAAGACATAAAGATGTGTTTTGAGGACGAACAGCTGACGTCAGCTGTATAGACTTAGGTAAAAGCCTCACGTATCACATATCCATAGGGACCAGTGATAGAATGCCTTCTGGTGGATAACTGACGGGATCGCTTCATCAACACCAGTCTTCAATGGTTATCTCAAGGTTGATGTCAATAAGGTCAAGGTCACGTGTCAAAATCGAGACGTCATACGTCAAGCTCGGCACACTAAGTTTACTATCTAGCTTCAAATGTTCTTGGGTTCTATATACAGATAGTGTATACCTTTCTTCTTATAAAAACACACGTTGTCCGACGTCTCGTCTGAGGGAAAAAATACTTACAAACGTACTGCTGGCAATCTGAATACACAAAGTGACTAAGGTGTCTTTTTGAGTGCATGTGCACCTGTTTTTATTCCGTAGTCACATTTTCTAAATCTCGAGATCCAACTCAGTATACTTGTAAAATCAAAGAGAGTGCAATCCACTTAATTCAACAAAGCAAAATGATTATAATGAAATGATACCTATATCACATTAAAATGGAAACTAATTATTGTTTTAAGGTCTTAATTCAGGTAAAATCAATCATATGAATTCAGTTTTATGTTTAATCAAATAAGAATGACAGGGAGGACAAAAGAAAAGCTTTTAAGTATTATGTAAATCATGTTCTTGAGGATCGTTGACTGTAATAAATTCTAAAATTAAGTAAATTAAGAATGATTGAATAATTTTCAATTTTAAGAGAACGTCATCTCGCCTTGATTTTCAAGGGAAGTTAATTCGATTGCCTAGAAGTGTCATCGTTATTGAAACAACAATGAATAACGTTTCCTGATCGATCAGCATTTATATCATAGATATCGTAAACGAAAATGAGGACGCTTTTCCTTTCAGAATACCTGGTCTTATTCTTAGCGTAAAGTTTTCTGTTGTGTTTTTACACCTCATCTGTTCGATTTCGGGCTTGAAGTAATATTTTGTTAACATATTGTTGTCATTGGTTACCGTTCATAAACGGTTTTTTATTAACTTTGATAAAAAGGTGAGGGGATGTTCTCTTGCTGGTTATTGACTTATCAATATACAACCTGCTGATTTACTAAGCAGTGGTAAAACATCACTATTCATAAAAATGACATTAAATAAATTCATGAGCCTTGCTAATATAATTGTTCCCCTTTATTTCTACAGGTGCGTTCCACTACAACATTCGGATGGACGAACAATCCGTGACGTCATCACATCCAAAACACGTGAATTTTGTGATAGAAGACCAAGGTCGGACCGATACTTTACAACTTAAACGTAAAGACAATATCGACATCAATTCTCCACTGTGTTTCATTATACAGGGACACACCTTGTGTGAGCAAGGGGAAGTAGAAGTAAGTGTAATAATACATGATTTCATGGTTTGTCCAAGGTCATAATGAAATGTGAAAAAGTTGTTCTTAATGGAAAATGAGACCATTTAGATGTTATTCTATTGATAGTGCAGAAAGGTATATCTACCGATTACTATGTACAACGCACTAGTCCTTGGGTAATACTTTTCGGAATCAACAGACACTCTCTTTCTGTCGTCAATGAAACAGAAGATCTGTCCGTGTAAATCTTTCTTTTGTTCATATTTTGCCCTAGTTTTAGAAGACGCTGACTCTTCCGGAACACATGGTCTTATTCTCCTTGTACCTTTTCAGGAGTGTCCGTTTAAATCTTTCTTTTGTTCATTTTTGCGCTTGGTTTACTGAATTTGACTGTGGATAATGATTATGTTGACGTGTTGGTATTTTCTTTTTTTTATGTTGTGTTGTTGTTTTCTTACTGTATGTTATGTATGTGTCGGCATGGTTATGGAAAGGGGGATCCCCGTCTCAACCCTAGGTTGTTTCTACCTAATTCACTTATGCCTAAATGAGTACTGAGGTGTCCATTTAGATGATAAAAACAGCAATGATCAGGTTCATTAGAGGGTGTCAACATACCCAAACTGTTTTACAAAGAAATGTACACTTGACTTTATTTTTTCAGGATGTTGCATTTTATCATTCAAAAGATAGAGTCGGTGCATTTGCTGTAAAAGTAAACAAAGATGGAAGAAAAAATAAACAATTAGTAAGTACGCTTTCATTAATATTTAATGGATGAAAATCAGTATTTTAGATTAAATAATTGGTAATTACTGTTATCGCTGTCGCACTATAACACAAAAATACATTTAACCAAATATTGTTTTCATACCATGCAGTTTGTAGCTTTATTTGAGGGAAGAACGACGTTACTGTCAACAAAAGGAAGAATTGATACATTAATTTCATTTTATTAAAATTTTATTTCATTTCATTAAGCATTTAAGCTATCAAAGAATGAATAGGACACAACAAAGTTAATCATACAAGCACAGAATCATGTGTATCTCTATAAATTATGTCAAAAAACAAAGAATATTAGGGATGAAATTACACCAGACAACACGAGTCGATAAGGATGATATTACACTAGACAACACAAGACGATAAGGAGAATATCACACCAGACAAACCAAGACGATAAGGAGAATATTACACAATACAATACAAATCGATAAGGAGAATATTACACCAGACAACCGAAGACGATAAGGAGAATATCACACCAGACAACACAAGTCGATAAGAAGAATATCACACCAGAAAATACAAATCGATAAGGAGAATATCACACCAGACAACACGAGACGATAAGGAGAATATCACACCAGACAATACAAGTCGATAAGTAGAATATCACACCAGACAATACAAATTGATAAGGAGAATATCACACCAGACAACACAAGACGATAAGTAGAATATCACACCAGACAATACAAGTCGATAAGGAGAATATCACACCAGACAACACAAGTCAATAAGGATGGTATTACACTATACAACACTAGCGATAAGTATAGCATTATGTTACTGGTATTTTAATAATTATGTTGTTTTTTTCTACAGGAGGGTGTATATATATCAGATGACAAAGCTCACATGGTGGCGCCATCTTCTTCTCTGTCTCATCTCTTTATTAATAAATCATCACATCACATTACAAAGCGGAGCAGTACGTTCGTGGCAAGTAAGTAAAACAGTTGTACTATGTCTTTATCTCTACCATTCAGAGCTTAATAATAGTGGCTGTTGTCCCGTTGCACAATTCCTAAGTTGCACCTAAATTTTAGACATGTTCGTAAATTCTTTTCCATTTAAATTGTTTAAGTGAGCGTTTGCGTCTGTGAGGAAGTTTTCCCATTACAGTTATCTTCCTTAGTCGGGAAGACCAAAGTCATTAAAAACGGTTTTACTCTTGGATTATGTAAAGAATCACAGCTTCTGCACACACACCACATAGGTAGTCTTTATATACATGGCCATAGTAGGACTTAAGAAATATAAAACCTAACCTTGTGAGTATATCAAAACTTATAACTTGGTTGCAAATTCAATTTTTGTTTCTCATTTGAGAGCCTGACATTACTTAAATGTGTCTAGTATTGACAGTTCTTTTTCTCTATTACCTTTCTAGACTATTGATGTTCATTTGGAGATGTTTTGTAGAAAAATCCCAATTAATGTATCTGAGAGTTCCAACATTGTATATAAAATGTGTATTGAAGGAATGGTGCTTTATTTATTGTGTTACTCAGTAATCTTAAGAACTGGTACACTCAGATCTAATGTTTGTCTTGTCTTTTGAGTGAGAATTCAATGGCTTATAGACAGACCGTTTTATTATGATATTAATTAAGATATTGTTCTGCTTTAAAAATGAAGCCCCATTGACAATATGGCATGAATTCTGAAGTTCGCACTTTGAAAACAAATCTAAGTAAAAACAGTATTTTTAATCGTTAATGAGTACTTATTATTTGTGTCATTCTCCTGCAATAAGGCAGTGTTTTTCGAGTTAATATTTTTAACCCGATACCTTTCCCTGTAAGGACTCTTCGACTAATGTTTAAGATAGAAATGAACCAAGTAGTCCTCATATTTTCAATATTTTACAATTCGAAATACGTCTTAGAATATACACATGCGCTTGACATTCTTCTAAAATTACTTGATGTATGAAAATTACGGAATGTGTTTAATTATTGGGCCAATGAACCTCCCATCTACATTTTTTCTTTTCTTTTGATCAATTTGGATTTTCCGCTGTCGCCTCCTACGCTACATTTAAGTCCTTGCCCTCACTGATAACTGCTAAATGATAGTGTAATTGTTTGGTTGTACTGTGGTTTGGTTGTACTGTGCCGTAATTTATATATGCAATAAATGTACTATTCACTTTTTAAATTTGTCTTTATACAGTTTTCTTTATCTTTCCTTAGACATTCTTCCTTTTACACCCTGTGCTTTGATTTAAAGTCATTGAAATTTGTCTTTTCTTACTTGAGTATTCGTAAATTTTTTGAAGCCACAAACAGGTGACTCTAACACCTGTAACAACGAGAACATGTATAGGTGTATGTAATTTAATATTAATACAATTCCATTGGTGTACGAAGCAGCTAAAACACATCTAATCATCATGCACTATCATTACTTTACCTGTTGGCTGTACATGTTTATGTTTCATTAGGCCTAAATAAAGAGTTTTCACTCAAATGATCCATGGCTTACTATCTCCAAGCATGCTTTCCAGTTTTTTTATATCATTCTATTACACATAAAAACTAAATCATTACTTTTTGCCGTGTCGCATTTTTCAATGTTGTAATGTCAACTGTGTAATTAAGAAAGAGGAGAACGTCGTGACCTGTTAAAGCACGTCAAGTCCCGAGTTGTAATCATCATTCTAGATTTCATTAAAAAAGAAAAGAAAAACATCACGAAAATACGAACATGGCAACATAATTCAAACTCAAATTCCATAAAACTAGGACAAAATATGAACAAAAGAAAGATTTACACGGAGACTCTTGTAAACGTACAAGGAGAATAAAACCAGGTGTTCCGGAAGAATAGTGTCTTCTGCTTCATCGACAGCCTCCATGTAAATCTTGGTCAATCCAAGTAAGCAATGGTACGTTCTCAATAGAGCATTAGATACGTTCAGCTTCATGGCGCACAACGTGATAGAATATTCCTCAATGAGATCACAATGGCGACCATAAAAATTCCCCATAATTTTCCACCTGCATCTTTTGAACCTTTGTGTTACGCGTTTGTCGGTCATTTGACGACTTCTTCAGTGCTAAAAGTGTCTCCGCTGATATTTACCTATTGCTAAAGTGTGCTAAATTTTGTCTTGTCTATTGTTTACAAACTTCAGATGTCGTATTGATCTCACAAAAACTGGAATTACTCCGTCGTAACGGAATAAACACACTTTGTTGTTTGTTCTTAAATGTTGCTGATAGCCATAAAAACCGTCCATATCAAACGCCTACACAAAAGCTGTCAGGTGCTACAAATGTTATGCATGTATTTTAAGCCTCTTTGGAAACCTTAATTTGTTTTGTCCTGCGAGATACTGCCATTTAGGTCACCAAGGAATGCTGGGATGTCGTCTTGTACTGTAACCGTTATTTTGATAAATACACGTCAATGTTTTAGTTTTGTGTTGTTTTCAAGCTGAGATAATTTCATGTGTTGACACCATGCTATATTTGTATATTTTACGGCATCTACAGTTCATAGAGGACATTGCTACTTAACCGTTTATATGGCATCTTTGTGTGTTTATTTGATGTTTATAGGGTACTTGACGTCTTCTTTTAGTCTATAGGTAACTGTTATATCTCTTACAATAGATTATGATAGATATAGTAAAATATAGTGTTGACAGTGTCCATATGACTCAGTTTGTAGGCGTGACCGTATGTTTACACTGTACCATAACACTGAAATAGATACAAACAATAAGTTTTGGAAAAATCTAGTGAATGTTCTCATGTTATTTTAAACATATCCGTTTTAACAACGGCTGCAATTTTCTTATTAGGCCAAATTATAATTTGTATCTCAAATCTGAATTGGTGTTCATTTGTGAATAAGAATTGTCCAATTTTTGTGCAATTGGGACAGACAAATCTAAAACCAATGGGAAGAATCTTTATCAAGCTTTACACATAAAGGTGAGGATAAATTCAGATGTCGGTCGAACTGCTGTAAAGGTTTGGTAAAAGTGAGTTTTCCCTTATATCGCTGTAGAGTATGTCAAATGAATCCTGAATTATACATTTTTGTTGTTCCTACGGAAAATACCTTATTTAATAAATAAGCACATAGGTTTGTAAATATCACAGCAGTTGTTTTGACATCATGGCAACACACAAAGACGAAATCCACATTTGAAATCATGTGGAACAGACAATATCAGAAAAAAAAAACCAATAAATGCATCTACAAATTCAACAATAAGCAAGTTATGTCTAAATAATGACATATTTGGTGCGTAATATTGTTTTTGTAAAGCATCAGTGTTATATTAGACAAGGATTATCAATTTAATGACATGACGAGGGTCTTTATACTGTGTCGGAGCCAAAAATAATTGGGTTAGCCAAGTCCATATCTGTTTCGGAGCCAGAATTGCTGGGGTTGGCTAAGTACTATTTTCCTAAAGGCCTCATTCCATGTTAAGGTACAATGTAACCGGTCAATGTTCAGTCCGACCCAACAACACGTTTTTAGTGATTAATCAAATGAAGGTGTTAGTATGCCAATAACCATGACACGTTATCATACATAATGAGTTGTCATTTAAATTTATGAGCTGTCTTCCCTCGTGGACACATTTTGTCTGTACTTAATTAGGTCATTAACCTATGTCTTAGCAACAAAGTTTATTGACTTATGGTTTTTAATTATACTGAGAGAGGTAACCGCATACAGTCACAATTAATTTATAAATATCCACTGGGAAACGTAATGTAAACCTCGTTACGTGTAACGGAATAAACATGCTGTAAGGACACTGCTTCCATAAAAACGGGTTTATTAACGAAATTTGACTTTATTTCAGTTGATAGCTTAATATATTTTAAGTGTCATAAACATATATAGAAATTATATTAACAACATCAAAAGTAGTTTGAAGTCAGCAATGATAGACTTTTTTGTGCTGGATGTAAGTCTATCTTATGATTGTATTAAAAAACGTAAAAAAAACATCAATTATTTCCGATTGTGAGCTTTTCCATCTGATTCAATAAGATCGATTGTTGCTCATAACTTAGAAAGATCATTGGATATGACGTCAGTTTAGTTATGACATCAGTGTGCGCCAAATGTCGCATTCAGTTATCGACATATAGAACGAGATATTGGTAGAGCGCGAGATTTTTCTGTCTCATTTACGAGAGTAAAGAGTCTAGGAAAAGATTTCTAAGTTAACTAAAACATGCAATACACACATGAGAATTTTGTATACCAAACACCGAAAGTGCTAGCGTGTATTCTTATATGCCCCGTTAGCTGTATTTCAGGCTGCCAAAGTTACCACTTACATTAGGGGAGAATGCCAATGAGCTGCGGGGTCATGTGATAGTATGTTGTCACAGGTGACCTAGTCGGATGGATCCTCCCTGTACTTTCAGATCTGTCGACATTGTTTGTTACGATAAAAGCATTAGATCATTGACTGCGTCTCTTGAACGTAAATGAGCTAGTATTTTGTCAAGGTAGATAACCTTATATATATTGTCATTTGTATAAACATACTGTTGTAAATGACATCATACAAATAGCCATTTGACAAACAGGTGAAGACCTATATTATTTTGTGACGTCATAATATCCTTCGTTTAACAGTGAGTAAATGAAAATTTTACAAAGGTGTAAGAAATGAGAAATGATACAGTGAGCCTAGTTATTGTCTTTTTAGAATTTATTATGCTTAATTATTTCGTTATGTATGCTTTGAATGAAATTAAAATTAAAATAAAACAATGCGAATATAGAAATTATACTGTCACATTTTGTGTTACAAACGTTTGAACCTTTCTACAATAGCCATGTAATGTAGGGTGATAATTAAATGTCAAGTTTAATTATTTATTATCATAATTGATGACTTTAGAAGAATTATGGTAATTAGTACACCTGAGAAGGTCTATTGTCTTTGTCGTTATG